AATCATGTTGTTGAGTATGGATTGATTCATGCAGATACAGCTGCCCTTAAGGGGCTAACAGTTGTCAAAACAGCTATCAACTACCGGGTTTCCAAGAAAATTCGCTTTTTGAGGAAGTACAAGTGTGGAAATAAGTGTCACTTTGAAAAGTACATTATATTCCGATACACCTTTGACCGTGAGCCCTTGAACTCCCTTTTTTCTTCGGGGCTCTAACCTCTTCTCACAGCCTTAGTAATGATTGACTAGCAAACTCCTGCTGTTCCTGCACGTTGGGGATTCTAAAACGGGGGGCATATTTGGTCGGCGGAAGAGGGGATCGTACTTGAGCTTTTCTCGATAGTTGATTTTTCTAGTTCCAGGGACGTTGTCAGGGGGGAGCGTATTTGCTCTTTGTTTGGAGCGGGGTCGATTTCCCTTCCAACCTTCTGAGAGAGAGGTTGCTGACTTTTTGTGGCCTTTCCTGTTTCATGTGAACTATTTATCCCCATCTCACCCCGCTCGACAGCTCGATGAGTAGGGAACAAGGGAGGGTCGTACCAATCCCCTGAAAAAGGAAGGGGGGTCGTACGGGCTCGACCAAAATCCCAAACCAATGATGTGCCCCGCCCGTATTTCCAAACGTCTAGCATTGGTTTTAATTAGGGCATTTTGGTGTAGTGGAATTAGTTTTGCTGCGTCACCACAGAAATGGGAATGAAGTGTGGGAGCATGCTAATATTTTGATCGGCATCAGTCTAGCAGTTTTCCCCATATTCGAATGCTACGTGCTTTTATCTGTGCTTATTGGCGAATTGCAGTTAGGCTTGAATGTACATAATTAGGCAGTTAGCCGATATCGGCCGTGAACCGCGGGGCTGAAGGCTTTTACATGACGTGTGAGCGCTGTAAGGCTAGCACAAAAGCCATTGAGCTGAGACGATAAGAGCGGCCCCGGCGACGTAAGGCTACGTTCATACTTCGCATCAACGTGAAGATTATGGGGAAGTAGGAGGGTGGCAGACAGCTGGATCAGGCTTCATGAAATTGCGGCGGGTGCAACTGCACAATAATGCACAAAATTACGGAAATTCGATGTAAGGTCTAGTACCGGGTGCGGTTGCACACCGCAATTTCACAACGTCTAGTCCAACTGTCTGTTTCTCCCACTTTCCCCATACCGTTCACTCGTTGGCGCTGCTATACGCTAGCAAACGCTGGTGGACGCTGGCGTTCACCAGACCAACACCTATATTCCCCTTATTCCTCAAGACGCTGGTGGACCCTGGCGCTGCTAAATCGATTTCTAGACTTACGTAGTCGCTGGCGTGGCGTACGATCGAAATGGTGACGCAGGACGCTGGTGGACGTTGACGCAAAGTATGAACGCAGTGTAACGGACATCAGAAAGCGCCATATAAAGGTTCGAGTCCCGTTTGGGGCGGCTTTTGCCCGCATTCAGTGTTGTTGATGTAAGTTTTGGAGCCCGACCCGTGGCGCAAGCAGCACCTATGTAAAATCTATCGTATAAGCCCAAAGTGAAGTGAGCACTTTGGCAAGTGCAGATGGCCATGTTATAAACTTAAAGATGCGTCATGTGTGGCTGCAGATCTGCTCATCGCATACACCAAAGGTAATTGTCAGATGCGTTCTACCTTCTGATGTCACTCCTGTACAGCACCCTCTAAGGCAACGTGGGCACAGTGTCACGTAGGTGTGCGGTTGATTCGATTTTGATTTTGATGGAAGTGGCTGTTGAGCTACGCTCGCGGTATTATTCGATTCTACCTGAAGAACAACTTGGAGAGATCAGATCAAGGTTGGGATAGGTAGGGCACGGGATTTTGTAGTGTCACTCAAAAAATTTATTATTCGGCTCCAGAGCAGCCTCAAGATGGGGAAAAAGAGGAATAAAGTTAGCAAAAGTTCGACGGACCAGATCGAGTAGACATACCCGAAATGGGTGGGGCGTACTCGTCGATGGGCACTATTGACTCTCAAGATTTTTCTGGCGAAACCAGAACACAGAGATGCTAATGACCTGTATACTAGCTTCTTCTGCTACTTTTCTTACCTTTTCGTTCGGAAAAAACAGATCGTCACTGCGACTATTCAGCACATTTTGCGCCTTCCTGCACGTCCAGTTGAAGATGATATGCTTCAAAGGCCTCTTCCCTTTTGTTACTGTTGAATTTCTTGTATCATTCGTGTGATGATAAGGATAGGATTACTGTTTGGTTGGGTGCGATTTCGGGAAGTGATGCCGAATGATTGGCGAGGTGACTCTCATTGTACATGTGGCGGTCTCATGTCTGACATGATGGAACTGCTGCGGTTCTACACATGTTTGGTGATGGCGGTAACCATATACGGTGAGGATACTTTTCCCAACCTTTACCAGTTTCTCACATTCACGTAGTTGAAAAAAAAACTCCCTCCTTTTCGACTTACCAAAACAGAGCCAGCTTACTCGAGTCCAAAAAGTTAGCCTGAAAGACAGATGGGTACCGATCACACATTAGTTTTTGGTGTGCCCCGGCGCGTCGAAACGCTACGGTTTCCCCGATCTGACATGCGCAGGAACGGAGAATACAAGGACCGGGAAACACGGGTAAATTCCCTCCATGGCTCGCACTATACCCCTTATTCTGCGGCACAGACTTCCCGTTCATGGCTAATATCCGTCCATAACAGCGCCCGCTGTGCTGCGTGCGGCCCTCTGGCCACTTTGCCAGACGACCTGTAAGATTTGCGCCTTAATGGAATACATCGTAAACGCAAGTCCTGGTGACGGATAAACATTTGGGTTGCCTGCCAAAAGCAACGAAGATGATGACGAGGCGCCGGCAACTCACAAAGCCACTGTGCTCGCTTCTGCTCATTCCCTCGGAGGCCAGCCGCAGCTCCACAAAAACATCCTACATTTATGATAATCCGCTAAGTAGGTGTCTGTAAAGTGGAACGTGTGTGTGGTGTGGTTTGGTGTGTGCGTCTGTCTGCCACATGCGCTGTCACGAAATTCATAGCAGCAGCGTCGGCAAGAAAGAATGAGCGACGACAGTTTAATAAGTGTATAACATGGCAGGACAGGGGGAACACCTCTTTATGGTGCTGCTATCAGAGGGGCATAACATGCTGAAAGCATTACCCGATAACGGGCCGGTAAAGGGAGGATGACTGAATTCGTTCAGCGCCAAGTTGCAGCAGTTGTGAACGTGATTCATGCGAGTGATCATACATTGGCAGACGCGCGAACCACGTTTGGGTGGGCCGCATTTGGAGCCGTCGGGTGCTGTGTCATAGGATGGTAGATAAACACTTCGCAGTAAGATCGCATAAGCACCGGCCTCACACTTGATAAGATTCGATAAGGGGCCTTAGAAGGGGGGGGGTGACCAACATCTAGCGCAAGTTGCAGCAGCTGCGGGACCGTGATTTCAAGGAAGTGATATACATGGCAGGACGGGAACACTTTGGTGACAGGAGGTGATAACACTTGATAAGATTCGATAAGGGGCCTTAAAAGGGGAGGGTGACCGAATTCGTGGCAAGTTGCAGCAACGGCGGGACCATGATTTCAAGTACTGATATGCCGTAGGGTGGGGCTGGCAGAAGCTGATAAGATCCGATAAGGGGCCTCGGAAGAGGAGGGTCATCAAATTCGTGGCGCAGGTTACAGCAACAGTGGGAACTCAGATCCGTGAGGTGATATAGGGTGTGGGACGGGAACATTATTGGCGGGCGACAGAAAGTGATAACAGTTGATAAGATACGGTAAGCGGCCTCGGAAGGGGAGGGTCATCAGATTCGTAACGCAGGTTACAGCAACAGTGGGACCTCTGATCCGAGAGGCGATACAGGGTGATATGATAGTGATACGGGACGGGAGTGTTATTGGCGGGTACGGAAGTGATAGGAGCTAAAATTGACAAGGTAGCATGGGAAAATCCGCTTCACCGCTCACAACAACAATGCGATCGATATGACTCAAGTATAACGATCTCAGTGATTCCAACAGAACTCATTCCTCACTGCTTATTAGTAACGACATCGTGTACGACCGCTAAGCCAGCTCTATTCCAAATGCATGTGGTTTGTTTACAGAGATGTTATGAACAGCAGCAACTGACTTTATCACTCTTACCACAATTATCTTCCATCAGCAACTTCAGTGAGGGCCATTTAAAGGGTTCCACTGCTGAATGCGGTAGTGCATTCCAAAG